GCAGTATTTTTTGGTGGTCTCTCTATCAAGAAGGACGAAGAGGTACTGAAGAAGAACTGCCCGCATATTGTCGTGGGGACTCCTGGCCGCATCCTAGCCCTGGCTCGAAATAAGAGCCTTAACCTCAAACACATTAAACACTTCATTTTGGATGAATGTGATAAGATGCTTGAACAGCTCGGTGAGTGACAGTGCTGGAACAATGTTAGTGGTCTGGGGAGTTGCTTTGGAGCCAAATGATGCTTTTATCTGATACTGGAGCACTTCAGTGCAAAGAAGACTCTTATCTATCACCCATGACTGATGGCTCTGGAATCCCTAGTTGGTCTTTTGTTATGCTTATAAGCAGCCTTGGTAATCAGAGAGGAGGGTGTCATTTGTCATCTTACTAACAATTTATGTTTTTTTTACCTTTGAGAGTAACTTTAATAATCCTAGATGTAGGTCACCATCACCACCGTCTTTTTCTTTACAGATTCTTCATATACTGAGACTCATAGGGAAGATAATAAACTAGAGAATACAACGTACCTTTTTGGCATCTCCAGCACAGGATATATGATCAGAATTTATAGTTGAATATATATACACAACGCGCACACATATATAGCAGAATTTATAGATTTTCAGATTTAGTTCTGAGATTAATATGGAATGTTGGTGTATGTTTGTATAGTGTAATATGCTAGTGTGCCAAGTGAGGTTAATAAAGGAGGTTTTTCTCTAAGAATTAAATCTTGGTGAATGAGAGTGGGGATGGACATAGCCTGAGAAGTCATCCTTAATCGTCTTTGGTGATTCAATAGGGTGAGCTGTGAGATAGGATCCAGGTACGGATGGCATACTTGCCTGACTGGATAGGAAAGTGTGTTTCAGATGAGACAGAGTGGACTGTAACATGTAGAGTATAATAAGTGTTCAGTTTTATAGACTGGTGGAGGGTAGGGCCTGGGGGGAGGGCAGCTGGGAGGAGGGCCTTTAAAGCATTTTTAAAAAGCTAGATTCTTGTGGCTCACACCTATAATCCTAGGTCTCTGGGTGGCTGAGGTGGGTAGATTGAGCTCTCAGGTTCTAGACTAGCCTGAGCCAGAGTGAGATTTTGTCTCTAAAAATAGCTGGGTGTTGTGGCAGGCACCTGTAGTCCCAGCAACTCTGGAGGCTAAGGCAACAGAACTGCCTGAGCCCAAGAGTTTGAGGTTGCTTTAAGCTGTGACACCATGGAACTCTGCCAAGGGCAACAAAGTGAAACTCTGTCTCTAAAAACAAAAAAAAGCTTATATCCTTGTGAGCCTCTGCAGTGGGCTTTATCTCCACTTTATAGTTGTGGGCTTTGATCATATTTCTTGCCTGGTTAAAAGATACAGCTAGAAGCTGATCCCAAATCTTTCCTCTAAATTCATTGTTCTTATTGTGTTATGACCATGAGTTTGATTTTGTACTGGTTGGAGAAGTTCCTAAAGTGATACCCTTGCTTACCCACTTCCAGTAGTCTTCACCTCATTGAGAGCTGTTGATAGCACATACTTATTTTCTCCTGTAATCTTTTTCTTTGTTCTTGTAGACATGCGTCGGGATGTCCAGGAAATTTTTCGCATGACCCCCCATGAGAAGCAGGTCATGATGTTCAGTGCTACCTTGAGCAAAGAGATCCGTCCTGTCTGCCGCAAGTTCATGCAAGATCCAATGGAGATCTTCGTGGATGATGAGACGAAGTTGACGCTGCATGGATTGCAGCAGTACTATGTGAAACTGAAGGACAACGAGAAGAACCGGAAACTTTTTGACCTTCTGGATGTCCTTGAGTTCAACCAGGTGGTAATCTTTGTGAAGTCTGTGCAGCGATGCATTGCCCTGGCCCAGCTCCTGGTGGAGCAGAACTTTCCAGCCATTGCCATCCACCGTGGGATGCCCCAGGAGGAGAGGCTTTCTCGGTATCAGCAGTTTAAAGATTTTCAACGACGAATTCTTGTGGCTACCAACCTTTTTGGCCACGGCATGGACATTGAACGGGTGAACATTGCCTTTAACTACGACATGCCTGAGGATTCTGACACCTATCTCCATCGGGTGGCCCGAGCAGGCCGGTTTGGCACCAAGGGCTTGGCCATCACGTTTGTGTCAGATGAGAATGATGCCAAGATCCTTAATGATGTGCAGGATCGTTTTGAAGTCAATATTAGTGAGCTGCCCGATGAGATAGACATCTTCTCCTACATTGAACAGACACGGTAGAGGATTTACCCATTCTGGAATGCGACAGTCTGTTCTTCAGGAGAGGACACCAAGTGTGGGGGTGAAGGAGACACTACTGCCACCTGCCCCTGACAGCCCCACCCTCACCCCATGGCGTCCCTCTTCTGCATCACCACCACTCCTAAACCCCTATTTCCTGATTTATCAGAATTTTTTTTAACAAAACTGAAAATGAAACACACACACACACACACACACACAAGAAACTGTATGAAATTTAATTAGATTATATAGAGCAGTAGAATAGGGTGAGATAGGTTTCTCTTTCTCTCATTTCCTCATCATTCAAATATTATTTTATCAATCTTTTTACTTTCAACCTAGGACCTACCAAAAAGTTTTAAATTTTTGTCTTATTCTGAAATTTACTTTTATATAACACTGAACTTTTATCTTTATGGTTCATGGTCAAAGGAGAAATCCAATATTATTTATATAACATTTAAAATAATCATTGTGTTATATAATGTATTTCCTGGGAAGGTGTATATGTTAATAGATAAGCTGTGATTTTTGGTAACTAGATGGAATTACAGATACTTAAAGATAGTATATCTTAGAACTACTTTATTTACTTTTAGTGGTCACATATTCAATCAACCAATAACGATAAGAAGTACAACTGTTAGTGTGTACCACAGCTTACAGCAGTTGTATTTAATCCATCAGTGGATACAGGAATTACAGCTACTAGCATATAAGGTTTCACAGGATTTTTTACAAAGGTATGAAAAGGACCTCATACTTGAGAAGACTGAGAACAAGGCCTGACCACATGGCTGCAGCCTGTAAATGCCCCTCTCCGCCCTTTGCACAGTATACTGTCTTTCATTGTAGACGATTCTAACTCTATTTGCAAACCACTTCTTAGTGGGAAGGACAGTCCCTTGGTCTGTAAGATTTAGGCTCTCAAAACTGTTGCAAAGCGGTTAAACCCAGTAAAACCTGGGCTGGTAAATGGGATTGTACTCAGGCGCATGTGCCCTTCTTCTTGGGCTGGCCCACCTCTTTGAAGTATTTGGTCTTTCCTTTTGGACTCGTTGTTTTCTTGAAAAAAAAAAAAGTTTCTCTGTCCCCATGTTAGATGTTTATTAATTTGGTAGTTTGTCTAGTGTTGTAATTTCAATTGATAACTTTTATAGTCAAATGTGCTTACAAAAATTTAGTTTGAAATACTTTAAATTAATATAAAATGATAAGTTTAGTTGTGGCAAGTGGTTGCTAGATGGCAGCATGGCTCTTAAATGACTTTTGTTTTTTTGGGAGACAGTCTTATTATGTTGCCCTCGGTAGAGTGCCATGGCATCACAGCTCCTAGCAATCTCAAACTCTTGGGCTTAAGTGATTCTCTTGCATCAGCCTCCCAAGTAGCTGGGACTACAGGCTTCCACCACAATGCTCAGCTATTTTTTTGTTGCAGTTGTTATTGTTGTTTAGCTGGCCCAGACCAGGTTCGAACCCCCCACCCCCTTGTGTGTATGTGGCCGATGCCCTACCCACTGAGCTACGGGTGTTGCCCATTAAATGACATTTTTAATAAACAGAGAATTATTCTGGAGTTTGGGATATATTCGGACCTTTAGTTTGTGAGAAACAAAGTATATAATGTATAGCCATTTCAAAAATTCTAAATATCAATTGTTTTCAGGAAAACATAGCTTAATATATATATGTTTTTAATGTATTCTCAGTTTGGGTTAAAATGTTTATAATTAATTTTTTAGGTAGGATTTTAAAGTCCAAACAAATTATCTAGCCAGAGTCTTCCTTAAACTCTGTAAAATTATTTTATTTTATCTTATTTTTATTTTTTTTGAGATAAGAGTCTCACTTTGTCATTCTGGGTAGAGTGCTGTGGCGTCATAATTAACAGCAACCTCAAACTCTTGGGCTCAAGTGATTCTCTTGTCTCAGCCTCCCAAGTAGCTGAGACTACAGGTGCCCGCCACAACACCTGGCCATTTTTAGGGATGGAGTCTGTCTCTTGCTCAGGTTGATCTCAAACTCCTGAGGTCAGGCAATCCACCCTCCTCAGCCTCCCAGAATGCTAGGCATGAGCTGCCAGACCAGGCCTAAAATTACTATTTTAGAAAAATTAAAGTTCATTATTACTATTATGTTGTCATTTATCTTTGTAGTATTATTTTTAGCAATCTTGGAATTAGGATAGGTTATAGCAGGCGTCCTCAAACTATGGCCCGCAGGCCACATGTAGCCTGCCTGGCTGCCAGGTGTTTTTGCCCCCGCTGCCTGTCCTGCTTAGCAGCCGACTCATCCCAGGGCCCGCAGTCTGGCCCTCCGACGGTCTGAGGGACAGTGAACTGGCCCCCTGTTTAAAAAGTTTGAGGACCCCTGGGTTATAGGATCCACTCCAGAATCTTTTATTTTATTTGTTTTCCTATAATCTGGAACACTTCCAGCTTTGTCTTTCATAATATTGATGATTTTTTGTTTTTGTTTTTGTTTTTGTTTTGGCCAGGGCTGGGTTTGAACCCGCCACCTCCGGCATATGAGGCCAGCGCCCTTCCCTTTTGAGCCACAGGTGCTGACCAATATTGATATTTTCATAAAATGCAAATCATTTATTTTATATAATATTCTACAAGTTGGTTTTCAAGTATGAGAGGAAAACTAGGAATTTTTCTGGACATGTTACATTCAAAGGATGGTTTTTCTGCATTGCTAATAAACGTTAAGACTGTTTTGAGACCTATGGTAAAATAGTACGCATATCCTTTCTGTTACATGTTTTTTAAATAATTGTTAAGGAAGATAAGAAATACAGAAACATAATAGAACCATAATAGTTTGTGCCATTCTCAGTTAAGAGATTGGTCTATTATTAACCTTTAACTGTCAACGGTGCTTTTTTATCCTCAACCTAGCTCCATGGCTCTGTCCAAGAATAACTTAGAAATTTTATTGAGTGTGTTGTTGTTGTGGTTGTGGTTTTGAGACAAGGTCTTGCTGTGTTGCCTGGGACAGAATACAGTAGCATCATCGTAGTTCATTACAGCCTTCAACACCTAGGTTCAGGTGACCCACAGCTCATGAGTAGCCAGAACTGCAAGCAGGCACCACAGGCACCACCATGCCTGGCTAATTTATTTATATATTTTTGTAGAGCCAGGATCTTGTTATTGCCAGGCTGGTCTCAAACTCCTGGCTGAAGAGAGCCTCCCCGCCATGGCCCCCAGAGTGCTGGGATTAAAGGCATGGCCCACTGTGCCTGGTCAGCTTTTGTTATCTTTAAACTTTTCTTCTTAATGGCTGTTCAAAGAATGATTGGAATACCAGAGTCTGCTCTTCATTTTCAATATGTGTAAACCCTTCCAGTTCCCATATGGAAGATCTAACTATATATATAGTAGGTTGGCTAAGTCGATTTTATTTCAACAGAAGTTTGAAAATTGGCCTAAGTATTTTAAATATTACTGGGCTGGACATAAGGATCAATAATTGCACATAAAATTGCTTTTCCATTTAGCTCTGAAAACCTTTTTATCAGAGGTAAAAAGAGAATATTGTTGGCTGCGAAAGTAGAATAGAACTTCTGTAAGTTGGCCACTCAAGGAACTATTACAAACCAATTGCTACTTAAGGAATTAGGTCTAATGTACTGATATATATGTGTCGTGCATGTCCAGTCTACGAAACTTAGGTCAACTTGAGGACGTGGTCAGTGTAGGGGGTGATCAACTATGGAGGCTCTACTGTATTACCAGAATAGAGGGAGGATACATGTTATTTAGGGGAAAGCACATCCTTTCCAATACCAATACCTAACAGTTCTGTAATTGAGATGCCAATCCTGAAATAGGCACTGATGACTTTTAGTGATTTAAATTTAGTACATTTAGTTATTAAAATAATTCCCTAACAACTTTTTACTCATGTATTAATGGCTATGCTACTATTTAACAAATTTATTATTTTTTAAATTACTGCTTTCATCTGTGAAACTTAAAAGAATTAAAGGGTTTCAGGAACAGTTATGTATCTAGAGCTTTTTTCAGATGTGGTATTGTTAGGATAAATTTCTGACATTTCATCTTTTGTGAGTTCACTATTTCTAGCAGACATTTTAATGACTGAATAGTAGCTTAGGTACTATAACCTTTTCTTATGTTTACCTGTTTTTGTAAGGCCTGAAAATGGGTAGAGAGGAAAATTCAGAAGCCCATTATATTTAAAAGAGAGTAGACTTTTAAAAAGTATTTGAACTTGGTAAAATAAAGATTTCTGTTAGTGTTCTTGATGGATTTTGCACTTAGGATTAATGTGAAATCAGTAACATCACTCTGTGTTAGCCAATATATGTAACAAACTAGTAATTTTTAAATTACAGTATTTTGGGCTTTCTTCTAA